CCCTCTCCCTCTACCAGAGACAAAGAAATTCCTGCAGGAACGCTGCATTTCTCTGCTAGATGAGTTCAGGCTGTATAATATCAGCACTTGGAGGTTTTCCCATAACAAGCAAGCTAATATCTTTGCTAAAATCCTGCACTGTGAATTCAATATTCAGCTCTACTGTGACAGGCAAGCTTTTGATCATGTCTGGAGCTTCTGCAATGACAATATTCCTTGAAACCAGCATATTTTACATCTGTCAAAGTGTTTTTACAGTCAGTGATTACCTCTCGTACCTCTGTTTTCAATAAAGTCATTTTTATTGATGATGAACCAGTTGACTACTTGATCCTTTTATATGCATCCCTGTCATTCATTGTGTCAAAGGAGTTGCAATAAGCAGTCATTGGCTCATGATGAACTTGTCTTTGAGCAATTCCTACTGCATTCTGAGTCTTCCTGCACAGATCTCTCTTGTAATTAATGAGAGCAGGCCACTAGGCTTCAATGGCAGCTTCCTTCACAGTTGTTGTACACCTTGAACCAGTTTCATTTTTCCATGGTCACCTCCCACTTGTTGAGGGTGCCGTCTCAAAGTGGGTTCCATTTTACCTCAGGAATTTGAGTAAGAATGTTGGAAAGTGCATGCTCAATTAAGTCATGGAACTGTTGGTTTTTATCTGACCAGTCAGTATTACTGATGTTGATATAAGGATTTTTGCTTTGAATATAATCTTCAAGGGCTGTAGCCTAACACTGGCGTAAACTATGGAGTGACATATATCAGTCAGCGCTGTGATACCTGTGTGCATTGACAATGCTGTTCAGAGAGTCACATTTGGTGATAATCTGCTCTGTTTGGTGCCAATGACCTTACCTTGGAGGACTCTAGTATACCTTAAGACGTGGTTTGTTCTGAAAGGAGTTAATTACACGAAGTTTGTGGTAGCTTTTTGGTATGACCGAAGATATAGCTCAGCATTGCAAATTGTATTATTAAATTGTCAGATTTCTCATTTCTTGTAATTCACAGTTTCAGCTTAGCAGCGTGTTTCCTTTTTATTGTAATCCCAAGGATCAATGCCAAGTCTAAAACGTATCACTATCCTCTAGGTCTGATATCAAATGTGGAACTGTAGCCAATGTGAAACTTCATTTTGGGGAAGAACATCTAATGTCTAGTCAATTACATCTTGTGAAGGGTGATTCCCTGCAAGATCTCAGTCCCATTTAAGCTCTGTGTCAATAAGTCAGTCTGAATAATAAATATTCAAGGAAATGTCTGACAAAGAAACAAAACAGTTCAGCTGGTGCAAGATCACTGGAGATATATTTATTTCAGAGAGGAATTGATTACATCCTCAAATTAAATGTTCTTTACTGCTTCTTTCCAAATTAAGGTCCAATGGGCCATATCATAAATATAGCCAGTGGCATGGAGAAATGCTTCCAGTTAATCATGAGCTTTAATTTAGTTGTCTGGAATTGGATTGTTTTGAAGTTGTCTTATACTATTTTCCTGGGAACAACAGTAATCAGCATTAAGTTACAAGGGGTGTCTTAACAATGTTTTGAAAGATGTCATTAAACAATGTGTATGTGCAGGCTAGGGGTGGAGGGCAAAGACATTGGGTATTAGTGTGAGAGGATTCCTCTATATTAGAGCCTTTGGCTGCACCAACATCGTGGGAAGATAGGGAAGTCCAAATGGCCTGATATTGAATCCCTGTTCTGAAACAAGTAAACTAACCAATCCCCCAGCCAGTTGAATTGGGTCTCAAACTGACATTACTCAAAATGGCTGGCATGATATTGGAAAGCCAGCACACTGGGGCTCAAGCTAATATTTTTCACCCCTTTCCATTTTTCCTTCCTGTCCTCTTTAGTGGCTGAAAATCCTGACCTAAGTGTCCAAAACGTATATTCAAGAGAGCCTATTGGCTGATGTTGAAGCTCCAAAAATTAAAGGCACATTATTGACCTAGAACATAGAACAGTACAGCACAGTACAGGCCCTTTGGCCCACGATGTTGTGCCGAACTTTTACCCTAAACCTGAGGTCTATCTAACCTCCCCCCCTACCTTATACTACCATCCATACGCTTATCTAATAGCCGCTTAAATGCCCCTAATGAGGCCGACTCCATTACCTTCTCCGGCAATGCATTCCACACCCCTACCGCTCTCTAGAGTAAAGAAACTTCCTTTGAAGTCTCCTCTATATCTACCTCCACTCACTTTAAAACTGTTAGCTGATGTTGAAGCTCCAAAAATTAAAGGCACATTATTGACCTAGAACATAGAACATAGAACAGCACAGCACAGTACAGGCCCTTTGGCCCACGATGTTGTGCCGAACTTTTACCTTAAACCTGAGGTCTATCTAACCTCCACCTCTATCTTATACTACCATCCATATGCCTATCGTAATAGCTACCTCCACCCTAGGAAAAAGTCTCTGGCTATCCACTCTATCTATACCTCTGATCATTTTGTACACCTCTATCAAGTCACCTCTCATCCTTTGTCGTTCTAAAGAGAAAAGTCCTAGCTTTCTCAACCTTTCCTCATAAGACCTTCCCTCCATTCCAGACAACATCCTGGTAAATCTCCTCTGCACCTTTTCCAACGCTTCTACATCTTTCCTGTAATGAAGCAACTAGAACTGGACACAATACTCCAGATGTGGCCAAACCAGGGTTTTGTATAGCTGGAGCATAACTTCACGGCTCTTGAACTCAATCCCTCTATTAATGAAAGCTAACACACCATACACCTTCTTAACAACTCTATCCACCCAGGTGGCAGCTTTCAGGGAACTGTGGACATGAACCCCGAGATCCCTCTGCTCCTCCACACTGCCAAGAATCTTTCCGTTAAGCATTCTGCTTTCAAATTTGTCCTTCCTAAATGAATCACCTCACACTTTTCAGGGTTAAACTCCATCTGCCACTTCTCAGCCCAGCTCTGCATCCTATCAATGTCCCTTTGTAACCTAGAACAGCCCTCCACACTATCCACAACTTGACCCACCTTCGTATCATCCGCGAACTTACTAATCCACCCTTCCACTCCTACATCCGAATCATTTACAAAAATCACAAATAGAAGATGACCCAGAACAGATCCTTGTGGTACACCACTTGTAACTGAGCACCATGTTGAATATTTTCCGTCCATTACCACCCTTTGTCTTCTAAGGGTCAGCCAATTCTGAATCCAATCTGCCACATTTCCCCCATCCTATGCCTCCTTACTTTCTGCATGAGTCCACCATGGGCAACCTTATCAAACGCCTTATTTAAATCTATGTATACCATATCCACTGCTCTACCTTCATCCACGTGTTTGGTCACCTCTTCAAAGAATTCAATAAGGTTAATGAGGCATGATCTACCCCTCACAAATCCATGCTGACTATCACGAATCAAACTGTGCCTAACCAAGTGATCATAAATCCTATCTCTCAGAGCCCTTTCCAATAAGTTGCCCACCACTGAAGTAAGATTAACTGGCCTATAATTTCCGGGGTTTTCCCTATTCCCTTTGTTGAACAAGGGAATGACGTTTGCCATTCTCCAATCTTCCGGCACTATACCCGTGGACAGTGAAGACGAAAAGATCATCGCCAAAGGCCCTGCGATCTCTTCCCTCGCTTCCCATAGAATCCTTGGATAAATCCCATCAGGCCCGGGGGACTTATCTATCTTCAAGTTCCTCAAAATTCCTATTACATCTTCCTTACTAACATCGACCTCCTCTAGCCTACCAGCCTGTTTCACACTGTCCTCCCCTACAACTAGGTCCCTCTCAGTTTTGAATACCGACAAAAAGTACTCATTAAGGACCTCTCCTATCTCTTTAGGCTCCGTACACAAATTCCCTTTACAATCCTTGATCAGCCCTACCCTTTCTCTGGTCAGTTAGGAAATTGGCTCAGTTGAGTATGACAGAAGATCATGATAATGGTCAGATACACAAATTCTCGGATGTGACTGGTGGCATCCCACATGGATCTGTGTGGTGGGCTCAACCATTCACCACACTTATTAACTTAATTGTTTAGATGGTAGGAAAGTCAAATGTTCACACTTATCAACACCACACAGATTGGCAACATTGCAAACAGTGTAGGTGATATCATAAAATATGAAGAAATGTCAGTAGATTTAGTGGATAATAAAAGTGACAAAAGAGAAACAAAATAAAAGGAGGTAGAAGTCATTCTTCAGCAGTACAAACCTTTTATTCAGAACATACCTGGAGCAGAGTGAGCAGTCTTGACTCCTGATTCTAGGATTTATGTACTGGTCTTGGAGGAACTGGACTGTTGGTTTACCAAGAATGATACCTGGACTCCAATGGTTAAATTACAAAGAGAGATTAACTAAACCGTGATTGTAATCTCTTGAGTTTAGATAGTTAAGGGGCAACCCGATCAAAGGTAGTGTAAATAGAGAGCAGCTTTTTTCTGTTGGTTGAGGAGGCAAGGACTGGTGGCACAGTCCAAAAATTAGAGCCAGACCTTTCAGAAGTGAAATTAGGAAATTGTCTTTCATGGTGGTAGACTTTGGAGCTCTCTTCCATAAATAACAATTCCTGCAAGGTCAGCTCTTAATTTAAAAATTCAGAATGATGGATTTTTGATCATCAATGCAGTTAAGTTGTAGTTCAGCCATGATCTCATTGACTGGAAGAACTGGTAGGATGAAGAGCTAAATGATCCATTCCTGCTCCTGTGCTTCTACATCTTTACAATGCATACATAAAGTATTCACCAGATATAACAACATGTTACCTGCTGCTTGCTGCTGTAAACAATGTCGATGTGCAAAAGTGAAAGAAAGCTTGACCAAGGAGCAGGGAAACTCCATTCCACGGGATTTTTAGCAGATTTTACTGTTTGAGATTACGCAAAGTGAGAGCATAGGATCTGAATAAATAATAGCTGTTTTGATCCCTATTTGGCAGAACTTCACTCAAAAGAGGAAGAGTCACTGAGGTTGACAGAAGATCCTTCAGCAAAAATCTATTCAACAGCACAAAATCAAAGATGAATAAAACAACTACCATGATAACTATCATCCTGCTTTTGTGTGCTATAACTGCACAAGGTATGCCAACATTTCTCTGCTGTGCTTTATTTTTTTCCTGCAGTATAACATGGAAGAGAGTCTTTCTGCTGACGTTTTGACCAGCAATATATGTCTCAGTGTGCTGGTTGGATATTCATTAAACTGTTAATGATCACCAATATTGTTGACGGTACAATGCTAGTTTGAATGCTGAATTATTAATATAGCTGTATTTAATCACTTTCATCAATTTTAACCTGGAACTTAGCAACTAGAAAAGAGTTAATTGCATTTTCTTTTGCGAAAGGGCTATTTCATGCAATGAGTAGTTAGGGTATGGACTGCATTGCTTGGAAGTGTTATGGTGGCAGGCTCAATTGAGGCATTCAGGAGGGTATTGATGATTACTAGGATTGAAATAATGTGCAAGGGTATTGGAGGAAAAGCAAGAGTTTGGCAGCAGGGAGTTATGATCATTTGAAAAACCAATGCAGAGACAATGGGTCAAATGGCTTCCTTCTGCACTGTAACATTTCAGTGGTTACTTTTTACTAATTGTAATGTTTATTTCCAGGATGACAGAATAATTTTATTGATTGTCATTATTTGGACAGTCAATTGGCATTCTGTTGTGAACCATGCAGAAATATATTAAGGATCTCATATTGGAACGAAGTGCAAAGATTCACTCTACTTCAATCACTAATGTAAAATAAGTTAAACCAATCTTTTCACAGGCATTCCTCTGCCAGGAACTCAAGCCCGGTGCTTGTGCCCCCACACCAGCTCTGAGTTAATCAATCCAAAACTCATCAAGAGCTTGAAATATATTCCCAAAGGATCACACTGTGAGACACTGGAGATAATGTAAGAATGTCATCTTTAACCTTCCTTCATCTATTATGTCTATTTACAAACTCTGCTATTTACTGAAAATATGTTGGATCAATCATTATTTATGAAGCAGATAGTTTATGTCAAAGTCTAACTAAATTCTCGACTCTCAGTGGGAGACCTCTAGTTTCCGTGGATTGATTTCTAAAAGCTCTCCTTCTCTTCACAGTGTCATCATGAAAAATGGGATGAAATTATGCGTGAGCCCTGATGCCCAGTGGTTGAAGATTATCATTAAAGCTAAGAAAGGTTGGTGTTTGGTGTTTGTCAAAATTCAGACTTTATGTTCCAATAAGCAGTGGGATCGCAGTATCGAACCCACATGGGGATTGCAAGATGCACAAGTTCTCTGAAGGCCCACCAGGAAAATGTTCCACACTGCAGCCTCTTAACTAGCCCACCTTCTCAATCATTGTCCAGATGCAGCAATAGCAATCGTCAGACTCACACAGACATAAGGCTATCAGCCCCAACAGGAGGGCTTGGCCCTGCAGATGAAAGCAAGAGAACATCAGCATGCCTCAATATGGAGGTGGCCTGTCCACCTGCAGAGGGCATAATCCATTAAAGTGGCCTGGAGCTGGATTTCCACCTCCTTACCCTGCCAAAAACAGCGCCTCTTGGCATTTGTTTCCTTTCTGGACATCCAGGTTAATTGATTCTTCTAAACAATCTTGTGTGTTTTTTCATGGGATTGTGTAGGGTAGGAGTGAAACTGTGGCACAGTGGTTAGCACTGCTGCCTCACAGCGCCAGAGACCCAGGTTCGACTCTGCCCTCAGGTGACTGTCGGTATGGAGTTTGCACATTCTCCCAGTATCCTCTGGGTGCCCTAGTTTCCTCCCACAGTCCAAAGATGTGCAGATTAGGTGGATTGACCATACGAAATTGCTCATAGTGTCCAGGGATGTGCAGGCTAGGTGGATTAACCATGGGAAATGCAGGGTTATGGGCATATAGATAAGATATATGGGTGTGATGCTCTCTGGAGGGTCAATTGGACTTGATGGGCCAAATGGCCTGCTTCCACACTGTAGGGATAATATGATTCAGGTAGCAACAGGTTGAATATGGTACTTAACTTCCTTTTAAGCAGCGAGTTCTGGGTAGTGGCATGAGGTGCATGGTCAGGATGCTGTTGACTTCATTAACTAGCTCACTTTCCCTTTGATATTTTCAATGAGTGCTTTAATGATTGTATGAACCTTTCCACAAGACCACTGAGGGACGATGGGGTGCTGACTTAATGAGCTGAATGCCATTGCATTCCATTAGTCAGTACAGTTCCGCCATGAGAAGCTGAGGGCCATTGTTGCTGACAACTTTCTCAGGGTTATCAAGCCTCAGAAACATTTTGTCCACTTTCTCGAAGATCAGGTCTGCAGAAGTGGATCTCTTTACCACCACCTCCAAACACTTGAAATGATCACCAGCTACCATCAGCATCATTCGACCCTCAAAAGGGTGGGTGAAATTAATGTGGGCACATTGTCATGGCACCTCAGCCCATTCCTAGTGTGTAATGATGACAATGGCGTTGTGCTCCTGGCTTTTGTGCAAGCCTGGCACAAACTGGCTTCAATCTGGTTATCCAAATTCAGCCACCAAAAATACCTCCTGGCGAGCTCTTTAGTCCTCACTACCCACAATAACCCTTGTGTAACTGCTCCCGCAGCTTGTATCACAGAGACATACAAGAGAGATGATGGCACCCATTCCCCATCGTAGACATCTGTTCTCAGCTGACAATCCCCAACTCTGGGACATGTACGGCTTAAGTTCCAGGTGACTTCTGCCCTTTTAGGAGCAGATCCGTCACATGGCTTAAAACAATATCATTTCTGGTATCATTTTCACTTGTGTCATGTCACTGGCTCATTTCCTGATTGGGAGAAGTAGAGAATCTTCACCTCGCGACTGGATTGCCCTTAACTTGAGAGCAAGGGCAACCTGGACAATATATCTGCATTTGCGTGTTGCTCCGACCTCCTGTATTTTATATCATATAAGTAAGCTGAAGGGAGTAGGGTCCACCTCTGATGCTGTCACCAGTGAGGGAGGCTGCTGTTGAGGAAATCCCAGTGTCTGGTCGGAAGATGAACCAAAGATGAAGGCACAATGATCTGTCAGCAGAATGATATGGCAGCTCAATAAGTTATGGTAACATTTCCTCACATTGAAAATGATGCTGAGGGCCTCCATCTCCCCTTGGGGCATATCGTGCCTCTGCTTGAGTGAGAGAGCATGAATCAAAGCCAACTGGACTTTCTTCTCCATTGGGTAGGGTGTGCAACAGCACTGCATCGATTCCATTGGGTGAAGGAGCAATGGCCAATTGCAAGGACAACGTCGGCAGAAAGTGAACCAGAACATCCAAACTCTGGAGTTCCTGTTTGAGAGCAAGACATGCTCTCTCATTGTCTGTTCTATTTCAAAGACTGACCAAGACGGTTGTTTAACAAAAGGGTCACCAAATTAAGAATAAATATTTCATAACTCACCGTCCAGCTAAATCCTTGCCTAAAGAGCTGGTGTAGGAGGGAGGGTTTCAGGTATGTGGATCATTGGGATATCTTCCGGGGCAGGTGAGACCTGTACTAGGTGGATGGGATGCACCTAAACTGGAGGAGCATCAATATCCTGGCAGGGATCAGATGTCCTGACAGATGCCATAATTCATACATACTCACAGGGGCCTGCTTCTTTCCAATATTCTTGGTCCATACAGGCAGAGTTGCTGGGAGACAAGGGATACCCTCTCCAAACCTGGCTCCAAACCTGTTGGAAATGCACAGACTGGTGCAGAATAACAGTACACTGCTGTACATGCTTCCAATCAGCTCATAGTGGAATAGACAATAGGCCTCCTGAGAATGAGGTTTGATAGCTGGACTGCTCCAGTGGGACTTCTCAGCCACGGCCAAGCAAAGTGTCCCACATCATTGCTGTATATTACTGGTCCCTTCACAAGTTTTACAGATGAAGGAGGAATGCCCTTGATGGGAACAAAATGGGTGAGTGAGACTAATCCCCAAGGATGAGGGTGAGGCTGAGGATTAGGACATTCACCAGGATGTCCATGAGAGGGGCCAGTAAAACATTCCAGAGGGTCCAAAGAAGCCATGGGTGACCTTACTGCCAGCCATTTCCTTGGTTACTTTGTTTGATTGTTTTTGTATCAAATTCCTGGCAATGTAAAGGACATCTGTAACTTGTTTCAGAGATAGTAGAAACTATTTCTGTTGAAGGGTCTAGGCCCAAAACGTCAGCCTTCCTGCTCCTATGATGCTGCTTGGCCTGCTGTGTTCATCCAGCTCTACACTTTGCTATCTCTGTAACTTGTTTGTTTTCTCTTCTTCACTTTTTTCTTACACACTAACTACTATATTATCCATCTTAATGATATCTTCAACAATGAGATATTGTGCCTTTGCCACTTGCCAAAAAAATTATGCAGCTCTGAAATGTGCCTTCAGGAAAGGACATATGAGGCACTTGTGAGCGAGGTTCTTGTGATAGCCAATAGATTGACATGACAGTTCTGAAGTAGGGTCCCCGGACCCGAAACATTAACTCTGTCTTTTTTCCTTCACAAATGCTGGCAGACCTACTGAGCTTTTCCAGCAACTTTGTTTTTGTTCCTGATTTACAGCATCTGCAGTTCTTTCGGTTTTTAGTTTGACATGAGTCCTTCTGATACTTCCTTTATCTGTATTCCTTCAGTATTTCGGAGTGCGCAGAGACTGCAACATTGCCTTGATATGCTTGAAAATCCTCCAAAACAGGCTGTGACCTGCCAGAGGCTTTTCTCTGCAGACCACTGCACTAGGAGGGGCAACGAACATACGAGCTGGCCAGTGAACATCTCCCAGCTTTGAATGTTATTGAAAAACTCCTATATAGGAACAACCTTTCCTGAAGAGATGTGTGAAATCATCGCTGGTTTTGCACTGTCAACTATAAGGTAGGTCACTGGGTCTAGCAATATCCCCAGAAATTGGCTTTAACTTCAGTGTCCTTCATATTAATGTGCAATGCCTTGGCTGCAGTCCTCAAAGATAAATTTTAAAGATCACTGATGTGTGAAGTTTTCTGCAGTCAAAGCCTTGATTGCTTTTGCAATTGCAATGCAAACTCTTTACATGCTTGGGATGAAGACCTCATCTTGAACATGGGTCTGATTTAACTAGGTGCTGCAGTGAAAACAATACGACAGCAGACTTTGTAACAGTGCAAGTGAAAATATACTGACAGAACTAATGGCATATTTACAATGATTTAGCAGCAATGTGCCCTCAGTCTGTTTTCTTCCACCTGTCCTTCCCAGTACTAGATGCAGTCTCAATGCCTGAACCTGGGGTGGAGAGAGTGTGCTCTGACCCTGCTGAATTGGGCAGTTACCCCTCATGCCTCACGGAATCTTTTGCCCAGATGCAGGCTCACCCTCCTCAGTGTGAACTGTGGCAGTCTTTGGGATCACAGGCAGGGCGCTGTCAGAAGGACACAAGAGTCCTGAGAAGAATCTTCTGGCATGCCTATGTTGGTCCCTCCTGTGGGTGCCTCCAGGTACCACTTGTCACCTAGAGAGGAAGGGGTACCTGGAGGAGGTCAAGATCCCTTATCTCCATGTCACCCTGCCATTGATGTTGAGTTCCCAACGTTAAAGTGATGGCCTTGTAAGGGGAGGTAGCAGAAGGGTGATGGTGCCACCTACACTTGTGGAATGCAGGATGTGATTGACTTTCTTTCTGCACTGCTGGGTATCCCTTTAGATGATGGAGTCAGCACTGACCATGTTTCCATCTCTGTCCAGGCTGGACATGTCATGTAGGGTAGCATCCTGTTGTGGTCACCTGGGAAGAGGACTGATCTGTCCATCATCCCATTCACCAATACCTTAAAGCTTTCTCCATGAAACTGGGAGTGGCTTATTTTTCTTCTGGACTATGCTTTGAGACTTTAAGAGGTGGACAATGCAGTGCGAAGAGCAGTTTCGGGCTTGCAGCATCTTAAGTGGTATCAAGCTGCGCTTTAAAGATGGCTTCAGAGCTTTGAAAGACAGAAGGTCTCAGCAGTGACTTCTTCTTCATCACATGATTTACTAAATAATGCGCCTAACATTGCGCTTGCACAAATAATAAGGTGAGAAGTGAGCAATTGTACTGTATGACTGGGTTATGGCAGAAATTACACCATAAAACTCACTCACCATCCTCCTTATGTTCACACAGGAAAATCCTGCCTGATATT